CTCTCAGCCTCCCTTTCACTGCAAAGCCATCATTTGGTCATTGAACAAAGTCTCCTGAGGGCCCGCTGTGTGCCCGGCACCCTTACAGACCCTGGGGGTGAAGCAGGGAGCCCGCGGCCAAGTCCCCACACACATGCACACACGCAGCACGCACGCAACTCCCAGCCTGGGCTGCTGCAGAGAAGGTGGTGAGGATGGAAATGCTGGCTCAGGGCCTGGTTCACCTGCTGGCTCTCCAAATGCGGCCTGTCACATTACTCGCTATTCTTCAGTCTTGAGTCTCGGAACTGCGGTTTTTAAGCCCTAGAGATGGAAGCGATTTCTGCACACCTACCCCAGCAGCCCCCCGGGCCCCCCTAGCGAGGACCTCCGGCACCTGTGTGCACACTGCATGTGGAGGGGCCCACTGCTACCATGGTGACTTTCAGAGTTTTAGAAAAATCTTCCCAACATTAAACTCAGACTGCCTCCTGCATATCCCCATGCCAGTTCCCAATCCCTGCACTGTGGCCCCAGGGGATGGAGCCACCCAGAGGGGAGGAAGGGTCTCCCTGTGGAAGGGTCTCCACATTACAGGAGGTGGGGACACTCCCCCGAGGACCTGAGCAGAGAAGGGCGAGGGCAGACCTCCAACCCCTGGGCAGAGGGGGTGACAGAAGCTTCTGTTCTTAGCAACCCCCAGGGAGTGGCAGTGGGTTTGGCCCTCCAGAGAGATCTGGCTGTTGGAGCACATGGAACTTCATCAAACCCAGGAGGCCTGGTGTCCGCCTGCTGGGGAAGAAGGTGATGGGGGAGCCTGAAGTGAAGCTCTTCCTTACTCCCTGGACTTCCTTCTTCAGACACTGGTTCTAGTTCTGATCCTGGCAGTCATGACGAGGGTGACCTCGAGCAAACCCTGCCCCATCTCAACTTCAAGGAGGGACAGGTGACCTCATCTGGCTAACCTCATAGAGGGCAGCAGATGACCTGTCTGACCACCCCCACCCCCAAATTAAAGCTGGAATAGCCTAGTACAGGCCCAGGTCAGTTGCCCAGCAGCTCACATGCTGAGTCCTGCCTAACCTTTAGCCCTTGTCTTCCTGTCCTGACCGTCTCTGTGCATGAGATCCTGGGGTGCCACCCTGCCCTCTCCCTCTTGGGCAAACAGGACAGGTCAACCCAGACCAACAGCAAAGGGCCTGTTAATATCCAGGGCCGAGCTCACTGGGCTGCCAAGAAAACCAGCTCACCCCTCTCTGCCCACCAGGCATGTTCCCAGGGGCCATGAGGACCAGGGCAGCACCCCTGTGGCTCCCCGAGACCACTGATGAGCAGGAAATCAGGGCCTGGGCCTCACCGAATTCCACCACCAACCACTCACCAGCTATCAAGGGGTGACCACCACCTGACCCTGTCACACATAGAGAAGCAGCAACCATGCACCATACGTGGACAGCTCTGCAGCCTCTTTCCATGTACACCTGGTTAAGAAAACCACCTAAGGTCACCCAGCCCATAACACTGAATTCAAGGCTATGCTTGCTGCCGTGTGTTCATGGGAGGGTGTCTTCCCCAATTGGGGCCTGAGGGGCCTTCAAGGGCCACCTTCAGTTTTTGTCACAAGCACAAACTACCTGTACTATATTTTTACTCTGTATTTCCAAGTATTTGAAAGATTTTTAAATAAGTTGTATCATTTATTTTTGAAATACGTAATCTATATGACATGGCGGGTAACAAAATGGTGTTTTTAGCATGTCTCCCTCCTCTCCTGATACCCAGTTTCTTCCCCAGGGACAATCAAGAGGGGTTTCTTATGTGTCTCTCCAGAGACTGCGCACGCACGCGCACACACGCACATTCTACACACACAGTTTTGCACATTGCCTCTTCCACTTAACCATACAGCCTGGAGACTGTCCATCGTTACATAGAGGGGCAAGTCATTATCTTTTTACGAACTGCATGATACGCCACTGTATAAATGTATCGTAATTTACTGTAACAGTGTGTGTCAACTATGTTTCAATTAAAAAATAAATAAGGGAGGCACCTGGGTGGCTCAGTCAGTTGGGCGTCTGCCTTTGGCTGGGGTTATGATCCCGGCGTCCTGGGATCGAGCCCTGTGTCGGGCTCCCTGCTCGGTGTGGAGCCTGCTTCTCCCTTTCCCACTGCCTATCTACTTGTGATCACTCTCTCTCCCCCTCTGTCAAATAAATAAATAAAATCTTTTTTTTTTTT